TAACAACAGGGACACCACACCCTATGAAATGCCCTAGCATTGCATCTAGGGTGCATAGGTTTTTTTTGGGGGGGGGGTTTGTATAAGTCACTCTCAAGCAAGATGTCACCATGCCAATTATACACTTCCTTTGTAATTATCCCTATGAATAAGGAACTGAGGCATCTGAACTCCCAAGCCTTGGGCCAGAACAAATCATACATCATCCCAATTGGGGGACTGTCCTCTAACATCTTAATTTGCCAAACATTTTGTTTTTGCACAAGTCTCTCTAAGACATGGTCACTATACTAATGAGATACTTTCCTTGCAATTAGGCCCTTGAATAAGGAACCAGGTGTTTTGTACCTATGAATAAGCATGGGCTTATTTATCATCATACATCCTCATGATCAAGTGTGGTGCAGTAGTTTCGAGTGTCACACTAGGGAGACCCAGGTTCAGATTCCCATTCTGCCATGGAAACTTGCTGAATGAATTTGAGCCAGTTCCTCTTTCTCAGCCTAAACTATCCCACAAGGTTGTTGTTGTGAGGATAGAATGGAGGAGGGGAGAACAATGTCGTAAGCTGCTTTGGGTCCCCATTGGGGAGAAAAGTGGTCTATAAATATCTAAGCAAAGAAATAAGTGATGTCCCCTTAGGGTTCCCAAATCCCCCCGGGGGGCGGATTGCCCCCCGCTTTCGAGGCCCGACTTCCGCCCTGCGCGGAATCGGGCCCGGGGGAAACCCCACCCCCGCGCGCGCGTCACCCGGAAGTAACGTTGCACGCTGGGGGCGGGGCCACGCCATTTGAGGGGAAAACAAAGAGTTTCCCCCTCAAATGGCGTGGCCCCGCCCCCAGTGTGCAACGTCACTTCCGGGTGGCGCGCGCGCACGAGTTAGACGCCGGCCGGGAGCCCCCCGCTCCCGGCCAAAATTCATTTGGCAACCCTATGTCCCCTATTGTGCCGAGCCAATCACTTTCTTTTCGCATCATGGCCCCATGCAAATATATGCTTTCCTAGCAAATATCCTATGAATAAGAAACTAGAAGCTTTGCACAATGGGGACACAATGAAAGGGTATCCGGGCCCTGCGGGACCTTGTGCAGTTCCGCAGGGCCTGTAAGACGGAGCTCTTCTGCCAGGCTTTTGTGTAGGAGCCGCTGCCGCCACTATTCCATCACCGTTATCTTCCATCACCGCACCTCTACCACCACTTGTGTGGGCATCATTGGGGTGCGAGACGTTCCTGGATGAAGATGGGATGACAGTGCTGCTGGGATGTATGTTGTTGGTCTGGTATTAATAACTCCAGAACCCCATCTTGCAATTAATGATTTATGTAACCTTTAGAGCACCGACAGTACACCGACTTTAGCGTACTGTATTGTATTGTTTTATTCTGTTTTTACTGTTTGAACTTTGGCATTCATGCCTCGTTGTTAGCCGCCCTGAGCCTTTGGGGAGGGCGGGATATAAATCCAAAAATAAATAAATAAAAAAATCTCATAGGGAGCAGTGATGGGGCTGAGTGACTTGCAGGGGCAGTTCCTTATTCAGACTGTTCACGAAGCTCAGCAGCATTGCATGAGTAAATGGGAACCAGAAACCACCTTCAGCTTTGTCCTATGGCCCTTGGTTGGCTCAAGATGGGGCTTAAATGGAGGCATAGGAGCTCACTAGGACTTATCCCTGGAGAATTTCAAATGATACTACTGCCAACATCTTTTATTGAAATTGCCATCCAGAAGACCCTGTAAAGTACCTATCAGCTCCCTTTAGAGTTTTAACTTTTCCTACATAAAGAGGCCTTTGCCATCTCCAGTCACTCAAGACCAGTGGTCAAATGATGGGGAGGGATATAATTAAACCCACAAGCCCCATCCTCCTGACCCTGCTCAGTTTTAGTTCCTCCCTTTAGAAGCCACAACCCTTGCCCTGTTCCTACAGGACTCTGTACAAATCTATATATCTAATTCCCAACTGTGCCCCATATGTGCAGATACTTATTTCTGCAGATAGGGGCACATGAAGAATAAAGAGATTTTTCTGCACACTTGGGGCACACTCTAGGTGTGCAGAAAAATCTGAAATCTTTAAAAAACTATATGGGGGAGACTAATTCTCCAAAAAGCAGGGGAGGGGAAGGAAGCCTTGGCGATCCCATTCAGAGCAGATACGGACGAGCTGCTAAAAGTGGCAGGGGGGAGGTGGGCCCAGTGGCTGCAGGGGAGCCTGGGGACCACACTGAGCCCTGCAAAAAAGTGGGGAGAGAGAAAAAGTGGGGGTGTTGACTTGGGGAGGAAAGAAAGAAGGGGAGATGGGCTGGGAGGACAGAAAAGGAAATATGGGGGTATTGGATTGAGGGAGAGAAAGAAGGGGGATTGGCTTGGTGGGGAGAGAGAAAGAAAGGAGAGATTAGCTGGGGGAAATAAGGGGGATGGGCAAGGGGAGAGAAAGGGAAATATGGGAGTATTGGCTGTGGGAGAGAAAGAAAAGGGATTGGCTTGGGGGGGGAGAGAGAAAGGGGGGTTGGCTTGGGAGAGAAGGACAAAGAAGGGGGAATTGGCACGGGGATAGAGAAAAGGAAGGAAGGAGGTATTGGTTTGGTGGGGAAGAGGAAGAATAAGAAAGGGAGATTGGCTGGGGGGAGAAGAAAGAACTGAGATTGGCTTGGTTGGGGGAGGGAAAGAAAAAGGAGGGGGTATTGGGTTGGGGAGAGAATGAAAGAGAAAGAAGGGGGAGGGGGAAAGAAGCAAAGGTGGGGGAATGCCCCCTCCACACAAGTTTCTTCTGAGTCCCCACTTGTTATATATATAACTCTGACATGAACCAGGTTTATTGAGGCTAAATGCACAACAATCTGGAAAGTACTTGGGAATCATGTGACCTCTTCAGTTCAGGCTACAAACTTCCAAAACTAATAACCTCCTCCTGCTGCTTATCTGCAATGAGAGAATTGGTCCAAATCCAAACAGCTAAACACAAAACCTGAAGCAATATCCTAAACTCTCTTCCCCTTTGTTCTTGCTATGGTTGCAAAATGAGGGATCCAGAAAAGGAAATGCCTACCAATACTGAGCTCACCCAGCAGGAACGGCCCCTGGGAAGGGGTGGCAACAGAGATACAGTATGGCAGTAGTACCTAGCAGATTATTCTTTTCACTACTCAAACTCCCTTTAGGCAGTGAAATTTCTGCACCAGTCTGCTCCTCTCCACACTGTAACAAATTAATATTCACAGCCCATTCCTGGGCTGAATCCTATCCTCCACAAGCACCCTCTGAATTCCAAAAGGAAGCTTTCAAACACTTGTCCATTGCTTTCTTCCCCCATTTTGGTTCTTCATAAAGCCAAAGAGGCCAGCTAGGCCTGGACATCTGTATTATTTATTTATTTATTTGATTTATAAATCACCTATTCCCTCCTATGTAAACCTCTAGGCAATGTACAACCATTAAAACAATTCAAAACAAAACATAAAAAGAATAATTACATTATATCAGATGGCGTCATACAATTTCTTTGCTACCCCATTCTGGACTGTGTCGCTGGCTTGCAGGCAGGTGAGGAGAGGGCCGAAGTGATGATGGAGGAAAAAGAGGAGGGTCCTGGCTATGATGGAAACGTCGCTGTCCTCAACCAAAGACCTGGTGGAACATCTCAGCCTTTACAGGCCCTGCAGAATTCCATTAAGTCCCACAGGGCCCTGGTGGTATTTGGCAGAGTTCTACCAGGTTGGAGCCACAGACTGCACACATGCAAGTGGCGCAGAAGCTCTGCCCAGCCTACACAGAATCCAGACCTGCTGGGAGCCATTTGAGTTAAATGTCATCTGACTCTCTCCTGCTTCTTCCATTCTGCAATACTCACCTTGGAGCCAGGGCACTTTTGGATCCTCCTGACATTGCCTCAGATAGAGGAGACTTCTTAAAGGAGTCAGTGCACTTTTCATTTGGTTGGAAAACTCCCTCAGCCAGTGTATGTTCTGGGTAGGGTGAAAGAGATGTGACTCTTGAGGTATCACAAAACACTTTGAAGGACAAGGGAGATTATCTTGTTGGATCTTCTCCTTTGTACACCGGACACTGCCTATTTCAACATATCTGACCCAACCAAGGAGAGGGGCAGGTAATAAACCCGCTGGCTAAAGACAGACGGCTGGAGTAAATAATGCAGAGTGGGAGGCATGCCCACCTCAGCCAAGCACATAGCCACAGAGATGGTGGAGAGACCCTGGTGGAGGCTGGGATACAGTAGGTAAAAGAAGCAGCCTTGTCAAGCAGTAGGAAAGTGGTAGGGTGTTTGTCCCCCTCACAAGAAGTAGGGCGGCCTGCCCCCTTTGAAACCCAAGCACTATATAAGACAAGAAGGGACATCATTTGAGCATACAGAGGATCTTCCCCTCACCACTAGAGATGCCAGCCTCTAAGTGGGACTTGGGGATTCCCAGGAATTACACCTCATCTCAGAGTGCAGAGATCAGTTTCCCTGGAGAAAATGGATGCGTTGGAGGGTGGACTCTGGCATTGCACCCCACTGAGGTCCTTGTTCTCCCCAGGCTGCATTCCTAAATCTCCAGGAGTTTCCCAACCTGGATCTAGCAACCTTACCTACCCCCTCCCCTGGTCCCTGCCAGGGGGGACCTGGCAACCCTACCACCACGACAACAAACTGCACAAACCACCAGTCCGCACATCGTGTGAGATTCAAGAAAAGAAGGCTTTCTAGGCTCCATGGGGCTAGATTACAGGCAGGACGAGGTCACAGCTTTTTATTTCCCTGGATGCATGTGTGAGACTGCGTGAACCTGGATGACCAGCCCGGAGGGTGGTGGGAGCAGCACAGGTACAACTGGAGAAAGCGAATCAGAGGTGGGAAAAGCAGGGCGGAAGAGGGGTTGGCAACTCTATCCCCCCCCCCCCTTTGAGTCTCATAGGCTTCCTCCGTGCTTTCCCGAGAGAGGCGCGGAGACTACAATTCCCAGCGGCCCGTGCGGCAAAAGAGGGCGTAGTCAGAGTAGGAGCGGGAGGAAGAGGCGAAGACGGAAGCAGCTGAGGCAGCGACCCGGCCCAGCGCCTGGTAACTGGCACCCCCTACCCTATTCCTCCGTTTTACTGTGAAGGTTTTGAATTTGGCTTCGTAAAAATTCTCGGTTCTTTTCCTTTCCCTTTTTCTTTGGGTCCGGCTACCCTGAAGTGTCTTCCTGCAGTTTGTATTCTAACGCCCCCTCCTCCCCGTTTCACTCTGGGTATTTCCATTTAGAAGGACTATCTCCCCCCCCCCCCCCCCCCGGCTTCCCACCAACTGTTCTGTGCCCGCCTCTGGCTAGGTGGTTAGTTACTTCATGTGCCAGCAACAAGTGTGTAGCGGTGATTTTTTTTAAAGAAGAAGGTGCTGGGGCTACAATAACATATTCTTGGAAACCCCACATTGCTACTAAAAAGACCTGAGTTGTAGTTCGCACGTAGCGTTGTGGAGGTCTTTGCTGTTAAGGGAAATGTATTCTGTTTTCAGTGTTTTTTGTAGTTGACTGTTGTGCATTAAGCGTTCAGTTGTCCAAGTGTCTCCTTTTAAGTGGCTCTGATATGCGAGTCTTGTATTTTCGTAGTACTTCCATCACAGTATGCTGTTACTGTAGAAATATGGTTGTCTCCCTTTCCATTTTAAACAATTCATGAAGAACTGTACCCCGTGAAATACAGTTGTGCCAGTGTTGCAGACCCTTGCTGGATAGTGCCTGTGACGTTACTGCCACTGAGGAGCACAGTGCTTCATTCTCTTACACTTGTCCTGTTCTGAAAGAGTTCTTCTGAAAGCTGACAGACACACATATAGTGGAAGGGCAGTGATAGTGATGTCACAGGCACAGACCCCTTTCCATTGTCATATGAGGAGGGTGCATAGTGAGACTGTACTGTATACTTGTGAGCCAGGCTATGGAGCATGTTTTTTAAGGAGTTGGACTTGCTTGCTTTTCCTTCACCCACACAGCAGTGGCAAGGAATGTCGCTTTAAAAGTCTACAAAGGTAGTGTAGAGGGAGGAGGGCTTCTGCTCCCCCTTTTCTTGGGAACTTAAGCAACTGGAGGGTGTGTGTGTTTCTTTTCTGCATTTTGGAATAGCATGTGCATTGTTCCCTCCCCGCCCTCATGAGGCAGGTTAGACCCTCAGAGACTTTTAAAAAGTATGTTGTTGTTGTA